AAGACGTAAAGAAGGTTACTGTACGAAAATGTTGGAGGAAACTTTGGCCTAGCATCATGTTTTGTGATGATTCTTCTGATGAAGAGGAATTTTGTGGATTTAATGTTAGGCCTAAGCACATTAGTAACATACAAGAAATAACTGAAAATGTCTCTGAGAAGAATGCTGTTGCAAAGCTCTCAGAAAATGACATTGAACAATGGCTTGCAATGGACATACTGTACGAAAATGTTGGAGGAAACTTTGGCCTAGCATCATGTTTTGTGATGATTCTTCTGATGAAGAGGAATTTTGTGGATTTAATGTTAGGCCTAAGCACATTAGTAACATACAAGAAATAACTGAAAATGTCTCTGAGAAGAATGCTGTTGCAAAGCTCTCAGAAAATGACATTGAACAATGGCTTGCAATGGACAAAGACAAACCAGTTGTAGATATTTTGAGTGATGATACGATCATTGCAAGTGTTTTGAATCCACAAAAACCTCAAGAAGAAGAGGAAGTGATGGAGAGAGCAAAATATACCTGGCGAGAGACAACTGAATTTATTTCCAAATTTGTAGTATTTGCAGAGTCTTGCAGCCAATATAATGCAGCTGAAGTGATGAACCTTCATATTATTCTGAATAACTTTTATGCTAAGAAGTCACAGTCCTCTAAGCAAGCTGATCTCAGGGATATGTTTGCAAGGGCACAGAAGACAGTTCAGCCTTTTTCTTCACCACCACCACCACCAGAGCCTACTGTTGTTGACACTCCCATAGAAGCAGAGGAGGATATTGAAGAGGGGGATGATAACAGGGATGAAGCAGCACTGGTTTCATCGGATGATGAGTAATTGTGCAGCATGGCAAAATAAAGTTACAGATTTAAGTTTCAGGGGTTTGTTAAAATTTGCATTTTTTAGTGTTTAAGTGAATAATTCGATTTCATCGGATGATGAGTAATTGTACAGCATGGCAAAATAAAGTTACAGATTTAAGTTTCAGGGGTTTGTTAAAATTTGCATTTTTTAGTGTTTAAGTGAATAATTAACAGACTGTATATATATCAGCAGTGTATATATCCGCACACCCCCACCCCACCGACCCCTACTTTCCCCTGCCCCCCCTCCTCCCGGCAGTAGAGAGGAAAGGTACATTAACTGCGTGTCGGCTGTGGATCCAGCCGGAGTGACTGTAACTGACCAGAACGTCCTGAATGCGGCTGCTTTGGCACACCCTCGCCCCCTCCTCCTCCTCCTCTCCCACCGACCCCTACCTTCCCCTGGCCCCCCCTCCCCCCCGGCAGTAGAGAGGAAAGTTACATTAACTGCGTGTCGAGACCCGCCCCTGCCAGAGTACCTCCTGATAGTCCGGCATTTCTGATAATCCGGCACCACCTGGGTCCCAAGGGTGCCGGATTATCGGAAGTCTACTGTACTAGGAATAAACTAATGTGTGGCAGTTAACTCACAACTGAGAATATTATCCTATGAATTTATATTTAATTGAGGGCACAAGGGGTTAGAATGAATTACCTGCTTGCAAATTAGCATAGCTGAGTCCTAGAATCACTATATCAACAGGAGTAGCCAGAACCAACAGATATCGCACATGAGGCTGGAAAATACCTAAGAAAAAAAGAAGAATAGTTAGAATCTATTTTAAGGCCAGTGCACCAGATTCATACTAAGATCAACATTCTTTCTGCACAAAAACCAGAAATTTACAATGGCCTGAGAGTTATTCATTTTGAAGGTCTGACAACCTGTGAAGTTCCAGAATTAGAAACTTATATACCAGTCAGATGCCCAGTTTTCCAATGCTATCTCTCATTCTCTTTCTGCTTTGACAAGTCATGAAAGACAGGCAGTCCCCGGGTTACATACAAGATAGGGACTGTAGGTTTGTTCTTAAGTTGAATCTGTATGTAAGTCGGAACTGGCATCCAGATTCAGCCGCAGCTGAAACTGATCAGTTTTAACCGCGGCTGAATCTGGACACCAGTTCTGACTTGCATACAGATTCAACTTAAGAACCCCAGGCATCCCCAAGTCAGCTGCTGCTGAAACTGATCAGCGGCTGATTCCAGGAAGCCCTGGGGCAGGGGCTTCCTGTAGTCAGCCACTGGTTATTTTCAGCAGCTGCTGACTTGGGGACACCTGGGGCAGAGCAGCTGGGGTGCTGCTGGGTTGGTCCAGTGGCACCCAGAGCGGCGCTACGGGACCA